CCGGTAGCTTAGAATTCACGCCAGGCGCGTGTGCGTGCGTGCCCAAGATCCCAAGAGGAGAATGGAGGAGAAGGGGTTGCGGCGTGACCATCCCCCCTGGGGGGTGATTTCTCGCTTTCTGTCTCTATGTCTCTCTCTGTCTGTCTGGCGAGCGCACGCGCCCTATAGCAAAAATCTCTCCAAAAAAAAACAAGTATATGTGTTTGTCCATATGTTTGTGTATGTATATATGCACATGTGTAAAGATACACACGGTCAGACACAAGTGTCCTAAAGGTAGGTTTGAACAGTCAGAAAATCTAGCACAAAAAGGTAGCTAGCTAGGTATCACAGTGGGCACTTACCAGGACAAACAGTGATTTCTTCTGTGGAACTCTGTGGCATAAGGACTGAGCTTCTCTTTCTGGAAAAAGCAGCAATGCTGGAAAAACAACAACAAACAAACCCCAAGTGAAATCCCAGTAAAGTAAATCGGAATGAGTGAAATCCAGTAAAATCATCAGAACGCAGGGCCCAAAGCAATGCAAAGTCCTACAAAGCCACAGGGAACCCGACACCCCCTGCCCAGTACCACAAAGGCACAGCAGGGAAGGAAGGGTCCCATGGGGAAGGTCCAGGTGAGAATGGGGAAGACAAACACGCTTATAATTCGGGTTCCAGTGAGTGAAAAGAAACTCACACTAAGGAAGCGTGAAGGTAAGAACCGTGAGGATCACGGAAGACAGGAAGTCCACTCCCCTGCTGGAGGCTAGCCTCTATCAGCCCTCGACAGAAGTACATGAACTCCTAAGGCAGCACGTGGAGCTGCTCCTGACAATACACTAGCTCTTCCTCACCTGGCAGCTAAATTCCTCTTTATCCCAAGATGTGGTTTTCAAAGCAACAAAAACATAATACAGTTCCAAACTGTCCTACAGCAAAACTCTGCCCACACAAGCTGAATACCTCTTCTCAGGAAACTTTCATTATGAATGCTTTCCCTGATCCAACCTTCTGGCTTTGCCTGCCTGCTCACTAAGTGCAATCTCCTCCTGACACAGGGACACGCGGCTGAAAGATCTGAGCCCCAGAGCTAGCACCCTCACGCTTCACAGAGCTTTATGGTTAGTCTGATCAAGTATGCAAGAGGGCGCTTAAAAACACAAATCCTCACATCAACCAAGAACCACAGAGACAAGAGAATAGCCACCACTGATTCATGATAAATAACTAAACCCTGAAAGGAAACCGCAAGTGATTTCTCTCTCTAAATAAAACATCTCACAGCATTTGTTATAAACCCAAGCCAGACATAGTTTACTCGGCATGTAACATTAGGGCTCTATTCAAAGGGTCCATCACAAAACAATCTGCTGACATTTATAAAATGGGCTAATCAATTTGAAGTCAAACCACATTGCCTGTGATTCCAACTCTCTCCTGGTGACAAAGCACATAATCATTTATTAAAACCTACATCTGTTCTGCACAGGGCTCGCCACAGTAATGCAGAGAGGCCTCTGGGGAGCGGAGGCCTACTCCAGTTAAAACCACTGCCAGAACTGTCTTAACTATAGGGGAATCAAACCAAAGCCATAGTCTTCAGCCCAGGAAGAAATCACCAGTAATATCAACCAAAAGTCCAAGAAACAGCACCACCTGAATTACAGGAAAAGACCATTGAGGCTCATCTATAGGGAAGGTGACAGGCACTGAATACAAAATCAAGCTCTTGAGAAACTCCCAGAACTCTACTACCAGGTAAGGGAGGGAAAAATAACTGGAAGCCTGACCTAGCGAACAGTGCAGTTTATAACCAACCAGCCATGGTGGTTTTTTGTTTTTGTTTTTGTTTTTGGAGAGGTTTTTGCTATAGGGCACATGCACTTGCCAGGCAGAGAAAGAGAGACAGAAAGCGAGAAATCAACCCCAGGGGGGATGGCCACGCTGCAATCCCTTCTCCATTCTCCTCTGGGGATCTTGGGCATGCACGCACACGTGCCCAGCGTGAGTTTAAGCCAGAACTTGAACCACGGTCAACTACATGGGAGTTCAGCGACATAGCCATTACACTAACTGCTGGTCCCCCCCAGCCACTTCATTTTCATCTATCAGTAAAGCAAGAAGACTTAGACGGTAACCCCATCCATCAGTCAGAAGACTAATGAAGGAGGTAATGCAAATGCAACCATTTATAAGAAAGATGAGATACAAACAGATTACGAGTGGCGGAGAACTAGGAGTGAGAGTGACACAGATCCTGGGTGGCATGGAGAACATGAGGGTGTCAAAGGGTATGCAAGTCTTCAGTCACTGTGACAGATGTGCAAGGGTAGGCTACGCGGGTAAAATGAGCATCAGCCTGAGGACCACGGAGGAAGCAGCTCTGAGCCTTCGAACCGGCCTAGGAAGTCACGCAACTGGTTGAGAGAGCCCCAAGATGCGACCGTGTTTGGGCACAACGTAAACGAGGTTTACACCAAGGCTGGACTGGACAAGAAAGCCCCGAAAAGCCCTTCCAACCCTAATGCGCTAGACTTCTACGCGCTGCACATTGAACGCTTACAGATAATAATGTCTCTTAGTCCGAGAGCTGCCCTGAGCAGCCTCGCTCACATCATCCCCTCAGGACGCACCGTCATGGAGTTCAGGAGTACAATGTACAGCTCACCTTCCTGAGGCAGGCACGGCGTCTCCTTCTTCTGAGGTTTCTGCAACGAACACCCCTTGAGAATACTGCAAAGAAACAGGTAAAATCTTGAACACACAGAGGTGAACTGACTTCTTTAAAAAAAAAAAATTATTCAATGCCATCATTTAGCAATTAGTATGCGTTGTTGGAAAAGCCATGACATGTTTTTTCTGTTTTTCTATGCAAAAATACATCATGACTTTTGCAAGAACCAAATAATAATAAAACACTTTATAGAAGTCAGAAAGTTTCAGTTAAAAAGAACAGTCTCCCTGTGGAGTCAGAAGACTGGCATTTATTTGTTTTTAACTTTATTTATTATTAATCTGACAAGAGAGGGACAGAACAAGAGCGAGAGCGAGAGCGAGAGAGAGAGAGAGAGGGAAAGTGAGAAAGCAACCCTCCAGGTCTGGAACTCAAACCATGGTCGGCCATGTAGGAGTCCAGCGCCCTTAGCCACCACACCACCTGCCGCCCCCCACCCCCCAAGACTAGTATTTAAATCAGAGCTGAGGGCTGGCCTCATGACACAGTGAGTTAAACTGGGAGCCAAATCCCACATAGCTAGCTGTGGTTCAAGTCCCAGCCCCAGCTGCTTGAGGAACTGCAGGTGTGTTTGTGTGTATTTGAAATCCTAAGCAGGTGGACAAAGGCAGGAAAAAGGATTGCAACATGACTATACCACATGGGGGTCTTCCCCCACAGAGCACACACACCCTCTAGCAATTAAAAAACAAACAAACAAACAGACAACTCAGCCCTGAATCACCTACTATATTTGTAATCTTGGGTAAAGCAAAGCTAATTCTCTTCCTCATCCTAAACATGCAATGCAGAGTGTCACTGTGATGACCAGATAAGGCCTGCAATGCACTTTATAAAATATAAGACCTAAATAAATATTAATTGGTAAGTCAAATGAAATGTGATTTCAGAAGAGCAATGAGAAAGCTTTGGTTGTGTATGGAACTATAAAGAAAAATCTAGTTTTCAAAGGAAACACTGAGCTGGGAAAAGCATTACAATCCATGAAAAGAAGTCTCTCTGAGCACACAGAGCTGCGGCATTGGACATTCTGAAAGAAAGACAGTGAAGATTCTCTCTGCTACAGATCCGCCACCGTGGGGATGTTATCTGGCAACGGGGATACCTTTCACGAAACATCATGAACAAGGACTACATAAAGAAAGATGATTTTTACTGATTAATGGCAGAATTCATTAACTTAGGGCCAGCAGGTGGCGTGGTGGTTAAAGCGCTGGACTTCCGCACAGCGGGTCACAGCATCCCGGACCAGTGGCTTTCGTCCTCACTTTCTCTCTTTCTCTTCCCTCACTATCTCTCTATGGTGAGCACTCATGCCATATAGCAAATTTTTAAAAAGTAATGATAATAAATAAAATTAAACAAATAATTCTTTAAAAAATAATGGCAGATGGGGCCAGCAGATGGCATGGTGGTAGGGGCGTTGGACTCCCACATGGCTGACCGCAGTTCAAATTATAGACCTGGTGGTTTGCTTTCTAACTTTCCCTCTCTCTCTCTGGTCTAATGAGAATAAATAAATAATAAAATAATTCTTAAAAAAAAAAAATGGTAGAAGGCTGGCAGATGGTGTGGTGGTTAAGGTGCTGGACTCCCACATGGCTGACTGCATTTCGAGTCCCAGACCTGGTGGTTGACTTTCTCATTTTCCCTCTCTCTCTGTCTATGGTCAAATTTAAAAAATAATAATGAATAAAATTAAATAAATAATACTTTATAAAATAATGGTAAAGTTAATCAGCTCATTACATGCAGGTATATAAGCGAGCACAGAAAAAGCAGACATGGGAAAGCAGCTCCTGGGGCCTCAGGCAGACCTCTAGGGTGTCTGTCCTGTGAGGCTCGCTCCAGCGCACGCAGAGCTACTAGCTGAGGGCATCAGGGCCCCAACAGAGTACAGCTACCCTAAGTCAGTAGGCATCTCTCTACCGTTCAGGTAAATAATGACATACACTTTTTTTTTTGGGGGGGGGGTTGGTATAGGGCATGTGTGCTCACCAGAACGAGAGAGAGAGAGAGAGACAGAGAGACAGAAAGCGAGAAATCCCCCACCAGGGGGGATAGCCACGCTACAATCCCTTCTCCTCCATCCTCCTCTCGGGATCTTGGGCATGCACGCACATGCACCCAGCATGAGTTTAAGCCACCAAGTCCGGGACTCAAACTGCAATCGACTACATGGGAGTCCAGCAACATAGCCATTACGCCAACAGCTAGTCCCAATAATGACATACACTTTACAAAATCAAAATAGGAATAGTTGAGTCCTAAGTCAAAAAGAAGATAAAGTGGTACAAGAATCAGGCATGCCATAGTTATGAAAAACAAGAGTTAAACAAAACTGTCAAAAGGACTAAAATACAACAGCAATAAATACTCTACCTGACTCTGTTTGAACTCAGCAGTGACACATTTCTTTTTATAGAAATCTTTTAAGGAAAAGAAAAAAAGAGCAAATACTGACACCTAGTGTCCACTTAATAGAATGTCCCTGCCTTAGACTGACTTGAGTGGTCTGGGGTTTCCCACGCAATCAAGGCTCTTGACTTTACATCTCAAAGGTTCCCAGTGTCATTATTTAAGAACAATTACTGTGCACTTACTAAGTGCTGGGCCTATGGGAATCAATTTACATACATGATCTCCCTTAAACTTCACAAGAACCTTAGGAGGTAAAAAGTACAGGGTCACTGGAAAAATCATGACCTTTTTTTTTCTGTTTTTCTTTGCAAAAATGTGTCATGACTTTTCAGATGACCCAATATTAAATTATTTTATAAATGAGGACAGTGAAACTTTTGAAAGGTTAAATAATTTGTGCAAAATCATAGAGTTGGTCAAAAGCAGAGCTGGGACCTGCCTGACTCCAAATTCCATGCTCTAATCACTACTATTATGTTGCTATTCAAATTATCTTTTTCCTAACTATTTCAATACAGAATCTCAAGAGTGTCTTTATTTCAGTAAACGCATTTTAATTTCCAAACTTTCATCTCAATGAAATAGAAAAATATGAAAACAAGTAAACAAAATTTGTAAACCATCCAAAATATGATAGGAACGAAACTTTAAGGAAGCTGTGGTCTCACTGCACGCTGAAGAGATAATACATTAAAGAGAAAGGGACAGGGGCCAGCCCGCGGCCTATGGTTAAGGCAGCTAGATCTTACGTGGTCAACAGCACAGTTCAAGTTCTGGACCCAGCAGTTTGAAAAACATGCCATGCACATATGTGTGCGTGCCCAGAATCCCAAAAGAAAGGAGAGAAAAAGGAAAAGGGATTGCGGCATAACCATTTTCCATTGGGGTATTTTCTTGCTTTCTCTCTATTTCTGTCTATCTCAGGCAAGCACACAGGCCCTCTGGCAAATCTGAGAAAGAGAGAGAACTCAGTGGCCAGCAGGTGGCATGGTGGCTGAGGTGCTGAACTCTCACGTAGCTGAGCACGGTTTGTGTCACAGACCTGGCAGTGTGCTTTCACTTCTCTCTCTCTCTCCCTGTCCCTCTCTGGTCAAATTAAAATAAAGTTATATAAAAATAATTTAAATAATAATAATGATTATAATTCTTAAAAAAAAAATTCAAAGCTATAGAATCAGAGTGTCTTCAACACCATGACCTAGGAAGTGAAAGGTCAACGGACACATCACTAGTTCATCACAGAAAAACCCTTTGTAGTGGACAGCAGGAGCTTATCAGCTCTTCCATAGACCAATTAAACCCTCCCTTAAAACTTCCACTTTGGGACCAGCAGACGGCGTAATGACTATGTCACTAGACTCCCACGTAGCTGACTGCAGTTCAAGTCCCAGACCCAGTGGCTTAAAACTCACACCGGCTGTGCGTGCATGTGTGCATGCCCAAAATTCTAAGAGGAGAATGGCGGAGAAGGGATCGTGGCATGGCCATCCCCTCTCGGGGGTGATTTCTTGCTTTCTGTCTCTCTGTCTTTTTCTGTCTCTCCAGGAAGCGCATGCATCCTATAGCAAAAATCTCTTTATAAAAACAAAACAAAAAAAACTTCTATTTTCTGGGTCAGCCTCACAGCACAGTGATTAAGGGAACTGGATCCCATGCGACCAACTACAGTTCAAATCTCAGCTCTGGCAGCTTGGAAAACAGGCAGGTGTGCTTACGTTCCCCAAATCCTGAGTGGAGAGAGAAGGGGAGGAAAAAGACTGTGGTATAGCCACCTCCTGCCCCATTGGGGGTGCGTTCTCTCCTGTTCTCTCTCTAATCAGTGCATGCATCTTCTGACAATTAACAACAACAAAAAATTCCATTTTCTGATTACTATTTCAGTCTTCCAGATACCTTCATCCTAGAAGGCGGTACAGTAAACAGTGGACCTGAGTATTCTGGTCACTCAAAATGTCTCTTTCCACAGAAAAATTAACCAACTATTATTTGGTGTATACACATCAGCTTGGAGTCTGGTTAGTCATTCAGTTCTCACAACTCATTATTTCTAAAAAAAAAAAAAAAAAAAAAAATCCAGCAAATGGACTGAAAAATTAAACATCAGGGGCCAGAAGGTAACATGGTACTTAAGGTGCTGGACTCCCACATGGTTGACTGTGGTTCAAATCCTGGACCTGGCAGTTGCTCGCTCGCTCGCTCTCTCTCTCCAAATTGAAGAATAATAATAAATAAAATTAAACAACTATTTTTTAAAAGAAAAATTGAACAACAGGCCCCCGAGAAGTAGTAACCATGTGAACACACAACCCACTGCCTCCCCTGCCTTGATGCTGCCAGGTGACCTCAGCCTTCAAAACAGCCTTATCTTGTTCCAGTGAGGCCAGAAAACGGTTCTCACCTGACTCCAACGCTTTACTAACCGTCCTATAGCCTGAACCATCTGTCCCAAGGCGAAAGTTTTTCTGAGCCACTATTACTAGAATTTTCTTCCTATTACCTATCAACCAGAGAGTTGTAAATGTGGTCAGCTCCAGCAAAGACAAGTTCAATAGAAAATGTTTAAAAACACAAATGTTGG